CTTCCTCCTCGAAGCTCTCGAGAGACAATGACTCCAGAAATTTCTCTGTGCTCATGATGTAGTCCTCAAATTTTCCATCAGCATTTATCGCGAATTCAATTTGGTCTTCGTCCCGGCTAAGCCACAGATTTATTGAGCGGGCATTTCAACTTTCTGCAAAGACATTCATGTATACAGAGTATACATATATAAATAGCCAAAATTTTAATGTTGATATGTTGAATACCTTATTTGTTTTAGCCTGTGGCACATTTCGAGTATAATTTTGCACTTTTCAATACTTGCATTGCTTTAATTATATGTTCATTACCTTATTTTCACAAATTCTTTGCGGATTTGAGATAACTTCTACAATTTGTCAAATGAAAGTTTTGACTTGTTTTTCTAACTAACTTTTTTAACATCCGATAGTCAAAAATATACATGCTACAGGTCATCACAAAATCAATGATATATAATATGCTATGTTTTTCGGTGAAACTTCCACATAATGGCACTTAAATTATAAGGAGTCTGTTGAAACGTAATACTGCATCTGTAGTCACTGCCTAATAGTGCCAATTGATTCTAGTTTTGACAGTGAAGACTCAAAACTGTTCTGTATAAATTTGGATATTGTTACAATTCTTTACATTCCACATGGTCTTTGTTTTGTAACCATATAAAGTTTAATTTTATATTTTTCATTTTATGTTTAAGTTTTTGTTTTGCTTGTTTTCATTTCAAAATTTCAAAATTTGCCTGTGAAGGAATAAAGTGATGAGATTAAGAAGCTATAGTTTCTTATTAATTTTCCATAGGTATCGCCAGTCTGTATCACAACACGTATTGTATCATGGGTTGGTGGCAATACACAGCTTTACAGAGATTCACTGATATTATGCCAAGTATTGCATAAATACATAACTATAAGTGTGTACGCTTTTCACTTATAATTTCTGCTGGAATTGTAATTTCATTTCTTTGTGATGCTCATTTCATGCTAATTTTATAATATGCACCAATATTTTATACATTTTGACTAACACAAGGTAACCTGTTTCGACGCAATCAACACCATGTGAACATTTGTAATATCGATATAGTTGCTGCAGCTAGATCTATAACGTATTTCCACAAATTAACCATCATATGCTTTTTATATGGTAAATTGAGGCGTAGAGACTTTTATCCCTTTATATAAAGGTAAATAAAAAAAAATGTGCCTTTAAAGTGTAACCGGAACGAAAATTGATATACATTTAGATTTTATCAATTTGTTTCCCAAAGAAGCAAGTCGAAAATGGTATCAAAATAGGTCCATCCAGTATCGAGATATCGATCCCCGAAGTGCTCGATTTGCACCTGTCGATCTACTGCTGATCAGCGTATTGTCACTTACGCTGAATGAGAGTTTTTCTGGCTGTAACGTCACAAGCAGCGGTAGCCAGTATGGTAGAGAGTGATAGCTTTACGGGGTCAGATTGCGAATTGAAAACGGATTTTGAGGAATTGGATTATGGTAAAGATGATCAAAATTAAAGTAATACAAAGTTTTACAATTGTAGCTTAAATTTATATAGAATGCCATGTATACTTTACATTAGATTTACAACAGATAGGCGTTTTAAATTGTGTCAGTCACGGTTCGCCTTACACAGGTCTGGGTTTATCTGTTAAATTAATCGTATATCAATAAAAAAAGTCATAGTTTTACTGATAAACAAATATCCTGCTATTGTAAGTTTTAAAATCGGTTTTGAGTGCCGTTATTTATCAGTGTTAGTTGCACGTCAGCCATGTTTAAAATGTTAACTAGTGTTATATTTAGCTGTCTCGTAAACGATTTTTAAACAAAAAAACAATCCAAGACGCTGACTAACAAATACATGTATAGATATGAATCAATTACCCTTTGTAAATGTTTCTGCTGACAAGTATGAGCATCCCCCTTCCCCAAGTACGAAGGCGTTTGCTGAAAAAAAATACTTCGTGCTTTCACGAACATATATTAGATATATACACGTCCGTGGTATTCCATGGCTCTCAGCTAATATTACATAAAGGTCCTTGATAAAATGAAAGGCGTAGTTCATTTGTATTACATCAAAAATATATATTCAAACTATATATGTTCCAGTAGATCTATGTATGTCGTTGAAGAAAACAGCCATCACATTTTTAGGGGCTTGGGTGAACGAGAAGGATGTTGATTCGTTTTTATAGAATATGAGCTGCCCTCAAATAGTGTTTTAAACACAATAGGGACATTCGTATGTCTTTCCCACATTCAACAAACTGTACGCATTGTTTCCAAACACTGACAGGTTCAAGGGAAATGCGTGCAAATGAGACACTATCTACATGCGTGTTCCGACATCCATACACAACACGTGTTTTATCCCTCCTCGATACGAGCTCCTTCCACAACACTTCAGCGTTAAAATAAGCATATTATAGGTATTTTTTTGTATTTCTGTTATTATTGATTATTGACAGCACTTCAGGCTCTTGTAGTCCGATATGCATAGCCGACGTGTCAATAACTGAATGTACAAGGTACACTAAAATGTTATCATTCAACACATTGAAATAAATACCTGCTGACTCAAAATTCTATATAAGTATAGGCGTAGATTCCTTGCCCCGTAAAGTTGACTAAAAACATATTTTCTGTGTGATCAATGTAAATAGTGTCATGGCGGTCTAAATCCTCACTTCTCCGTCGTTTTGAAAAAGATTTGCTATTGAAAAATGCATCCTCACAGTATTCAATTACATACATTACATATGGTTGTGCTTACTTACATTCTGAAAAGATATTTTCTTAGGCGTACAATGCGAGCAGTTGATAGTCGATGTCAGCTCTCTTCAGCAGCACCACCACAATATCCGAAAAAAACCGAAGAAGTCCGAAGAAATTTTATGATTATTTTGGAAGCTCTGGGGTTTTTTCCAATATCCGAGGATTTTTTTAAATTTAGTTAATCATCGATATTGACAAATGAAAATAGTATTCAAATAATAATTAAATGTTTCAAATCCACAATGACAATGTTGGTTTAACTGACTGGCGACTCGACAGTGCAAAGTTTACCTCGCCATTCATGGCATAAATATGTATCACAAGTGATTCAAAGTGTAGAGGATTAGGTAATGTGGAATATAAAATGATATTGAGATGACTTTTTTGATGATTGATATACCATTCCTCATTTTTTATAAACAAAAATCAACCGTCTTAATTTTCCTGGTAAATCAGCACTATCGACTTCGACGTCAGTCATCCCATTATCCAGTTCGCCCCGCCATATTGTAACGTATCGGAGAATTATTGTAAACTAGAGCAATGTCAGTTCATGTTTGACGTGAGTATCAATCTGAAAAGTGTCAGAAATGCGTGACTTTTTTGATAGGGTAAGCTTCTTGTTTATTTATTGTTTGTATACCGATTTTGAGTAATGGCGGCAATACCTTTATGACAGACCGTTTACACATCTCAACACTAGGTGGTGTTAGTAACTTGCTTCAGGCTTTAGATGCGTTCACAAGCTCAAGGTCGTTACGATACGGTCGTTCACAATAGACTACAACGTAACTGCGTTACGTTTATCCTAAAAAGAGCTTACCATTAAAACCACTTCCAGAACATTAAATAAATATATTTACATTTGCATGGCATTGTCACTATATAGCCTCTTTGAAAGCTGTGTCGTTGATGGGATTTTAATTACCATGCATCACGAGACACAATTCTTAGCGTATTAATACAACACTGACCGGAACTACAATATCCAATATAAATAAACATGACGGCTGCTGAAATATCGCTGGGCATTGTGAGATTTGACAATGTCATTGTAAATTTATGTGCAAAATAAAAAATAAAATAAAAAACTCTTTTATTACAACGAAAACAAGACCAAGGTCTGCAATATCATACAAAATGCACATCGGTTGAAATCACCAATGCCGGCAATGGAAACAATTTGAACGCTCATGCAATTTATCAGAAATATCGTCTGTTACACTGCACTGATCAACAGGGGTTCGTTACAAATGTCTGAAATACACATACGCTATTGACTTACTGACACATATGTTACAGACCAACTGATATGAGTCACAGCACACATAAACATTTCAGACATTTGTAACGAACCTGTGCTCCGTCGCAAGATCACCCACTTCAAACGCTATCAGTTTCACGCGTCTGGCATCCACGGTTCCTCAGTTTCTGACGACATGTCAAATAACGATGCTGTTATAGAATCTACCGACTGTTGTCAGGTTCCCATACAATCAACAAATAAATTCACGCCTGGACTCTTCACAAAATGAGCAAAGTTCTAATTAACTTCCAAAAATAACTCCCTCGTGGTGGGCAAGGTCGGATTTACGGTGTTCACTGTATTTGTCCATGCGCGAAATTTGTTCAGCGGAAAAAAAGAAACAATTTCAAATCTAACTTTTAGCTCGGAGTTCTATTGATAAACTTAAATCACCCTATATACATATCATACGCAATTGTATTGATAGTGAATTGTGGAATAAAATTGAAGTGTTTGTTAAAATTTCAAAGTACTACTTTGTTTGCCAATCAGCACGCGACAATAAGCTGTTCAAACTATTGAATGACACAGCTTTGCAAGCAAACAAATTATAATGTATTAGCGCGCATTATGCTGTTTGCTTGCAAAGCTGTGTCATTCAAATATATCATAAATACCATGCAAAAACAGTTCAATGCTTAAATCTAATCTGCTACTGCACGTTTGTTTTCTGTATTATCTGTTATAATATCAAGATACATGGAACATATTCTAGTCAGAATAAGCTTCAATTCATTGAAGTAACCTTCCCAAAACGGAGGTAATTCAGAATGCTGATTTACCACTGACGATGATATTGGACGATGATGTTAACGACATTGCTGCTTAGTTATTTGTAAATATCTTTTTACCATAGGATTAAATTATTTGATTTGTTTATTAGTTTGAATGATGATGGAACAAACGAACCAGAAATCATATTTATTGCGAGATTGAACATATAATAACAATATTTTCACCGTTGATCGTCTAGAAGTGGGTTTTTTTCAGTCAAGTTTCCAGCCTGAAAACGTAGACAACCCATACCTAATATCTTCGCTTACTATATCCCCTTGTGCGAGTTGTGTAACACCCATGCGAATAAAGACGTGATCTCCCGGGTTCAAAGTAAGAACAACTACTGCCGTAGATTGATGATAATCGCCGACGCCTGAAGTATCTGAAAACGACGATCCCCTGACAGCTCCATTCACTATGAGGACAGTTTGGAATTCTTCATGGGAACTACCAAGGGTCGTCCATGTGAAAACGTAGGTTCCAGATTCGGGGGCGATGTATAGTCCATCGCTTGGACTGTACCCGTCGCCATGGTCCAGCATCTCGTGATCGTAAATTATGATAGCACCAGTTTTGAAAGACTTTCTAACAGAAAGAGCCGTGTGGAACGCCACTGTCTGTTTCACAGGGGGTGCGGCAACACCTACAACACATGATTATAATTCTAGCAGTAACCTAGGAGGTCTTTTAAAACATTCAATATTTTTTTCTGTACGATGAGACGTCATTTATACCATTTTTTCCAATATATATTTCCGAAGATTTCCATTTGCTTACATAATTAGTAAATTGTCCTACCTTAATGTTCGTCTTAAAATACATTTCAATGTGCTGTCATCTCTTTTTCAAAGCTTATGAACAAATATATTCTTCGCAAATATAAGATACCTGAAACTAATCCTGCCATTTGTATTTCTCTAAAACACTTAAAAATAAGATTCAATAAGATTCATCGATTTTGAAATATGAAAAATCGAAGGTTTTTTTAGAGCTTGACAAAAGGACCAGTCGGTCTTGAAACGTTGTTTGTGTATAAAGTAATATTTCGATATTTCTTTGAAATGAAAGGGTTAATATCTTTTTTTTAATTCTATAAAAGCGACAAACAATTATGTTTTTTCGACATAATGAGAAAAGATAAGGAAGATATGGAAAGTAAAAGCTATATTTATATACTATTTAATAAAGTGCCGTAATCTGATGCTTATTCTTAACGCTATAATTTTGGAAGACTTACGATTTTGTCGGGATCTCCACATCTTGGATATCGACATGGTGTCAGCTTCTTCTTTCTTGTCTGTTTGATACAGTAGATGGTTTTCTCCAGAGAGTTGTTGGGAGTCGTCTGTTGTGCGGATACCATCAGCTTCAAAGGACGAGGTTTGACTAACGCCGAGTTTGGTTGTAATGTTTAAAGCAGGCAAGTCCATGTTTGATTTCGGATGGCTTTGCGGTTCGGGTGCCTCTTGAATAGGGTTCACCATCACAATCGTCTCTAAGTCTGATACTCTTTTAGCTAATCTATCGATAATAGCATCTTTCTGTAATATTGCCTGTTCCTGGGACGCCATTTTCGATTCAAGTTGGTCTACGCGTTCATCCTTATCGGCGAGCAGACGTTCCATACCTTCAATTTTCTGGTAAACAAATGTTACAAGTTCCTGCCATTGTCGCGGTTGATTACCGTGCTCATGGTTCTGCAGTTGTCGCAGTTGATTTCCGGGGTTAAATCGTTTTCCATCCAGAAAACCGAAACAATCGCAAACACATATTATAAGAATGAAATTCACAAACATGGCTGACACCTTGTCGTTCATATCAACAATGACATATCTGTTGAGTTCTATATAATTCGTAATAGTCTTATCTATTTATCTTGTTGGCAGGAGATATCAACAAACAAATATAGAAACAATCGTGATTACAGATCAGGTTGTTTATACACACGCCGGTGAAATCACCATGCACTAGATAAGGTCGTTTCCGAACGTTTATATACATCACCAGTGCACTAGTCGAAGTGCAAAGTTTGAGGTGTGTCTTGAAGCCTGATCTGAGTATTAAACAAAAGGTAAGTGTGTAATGAATATGCATTTTATGAAAGTTTACTCAAATAAGTAAAGTTGTAAATGTCAACTCAAAATATAAATTAGAAAAGAAATTGTTGAGAAAACAAAAAAACTTCTCATTTGACAATGACCTAAAACAACCCCATGACTTAATCTTCCGTTTTATATAAACAATCTTTAATTGACGATTGAATTTCTGTTATTTTTCATTCTTTTATATATGCCTGCTTAATTTACACAGGTTTCCAAAAAACAGAAATGGTATCATTCTGGTTGTTTTAACTCATTTTGAAAACAGCAAATTATATTTATGGTTTATCCTACCCCTTTTGGTACCCCAGAAACCCACTTTCGGTCAAACATTTTCCTTACATTTGGCGCATGTGATACAATAAGACATCTTTGAACAAATTAATTAACGTGGCTCCACACTTTCGCAATTAACCAGCAAAATTCGTTGAAACTTTCATATAATGGTTATGCAACTATGTAGAGTTAATTTTATGAAAATCTAAACATTCTGATAGTTCGGGGATTTTTTTGGAAAAATACCAAAAAATTGAATTTTCGCCAATTTTAATATTTTCCGGTTTTTTTTGTGTGTGGCATTGTTCGGAATAATAACAACAATAAAAAAATGAAAAGAAGCATTTCTAATTAACCCTACCAATATTTTATTTATCGCAAAATATGTAACACATGTTACACAAAGTGTTTTTTTATTGAATTTGTACGGATAAAAGTGATTATCTACAAGCTGAAAGCAAACAGGACACCAAGATCTATATATATAGAGTGGGAAATTGAACAAAATATACACAATGGCTTTATAATTAATTTATTTTACATTTTACAATCACTTTGATCCGGGTGAGAGTTATCTTCCTTGAAAAAAATCGGAACTTTTTGCAGAGGGGTGACATTTACACAATGACAGTTGTCTCTGTTTACATATAACAAAAATGATGGAAATAAATCAAAAATATGATATCAAAATTATCAATTTATTGTTCTTTAATGGAACCAAATTACCCTCAGTCGTGTACACTTTGGACATCATTCCACAGTCCGCTAACTCACGGTATATTTATAATTACATGTCAGGTACATATGTGACCAGAGGCTATCGCATGGCATGCCGTTCTCACGTGCACTCACACATGCATTTCATAGGTATCTTGATATTTTACAAAACATAATTTTCACAGAGTAAGTAGACTACATTTGTAAACACGATTAAACGACAGAGCGAAACTCCCTCAATAGCGAAAATCGTAACGACCTTGAGCTTATGAACTCGTGTAAACACGTGATATGCACATGTGAGGTTGGTACGTCCGCATTCCATGTGTTTCCTATATGACCTTCTTGAGGTCGTTTGGTCTCATGTCACTGTCTTCCCGTGAGTCTGTTTATGTCTATGAATTGGAAAGCTTTATTCCTGAAGTACGTGTGATTATACATTTCCCGGTAAAATCTCGATATCGGGTGTTGACATATCATCGGCACGCACGTGTTCTATTGTTTACCAGGGGCCTGTTCGTTTATGCGGAACAACCGGTTTGACCGTTTATAAATGTAACAATTTCGGGTATAAATCCTGGCGGACCTGCAAATGTGTATGCAGGCCTTGCAGGGCTTTCTCAAGGCTCGCCTGAAAGCAGCATCAGATTAATAGGTCCGACCTTATTTAATAAACGAACAACAGTGGTCCGACCGGCTTGACCGTTAAAACGAAAACGGCCCAGGTGTTACTATAATTTGCACTACGATATCGAATGCCCGATACGCAATACGGAAATGACGACACGGTGTGCATGCACATTTCGATCAAGATAATTGAGTCCGAGCTGTACTTTTTCCGGAAGTACGTCACGAAAATGGACGCTGATGACGATGTGTGGAGCCACCTTAAGGAGGTGAACATCCAGATATACCGGGGCCCAAAAAGGGGCCTTATAGACACTCATCCTTTGATAAAAAAAATAACAATAACAATGAATTGTAGGGGCTGGACTCTTGACCATTACACTACCAATCATACACTTTACCCATGTTAATAACCAGGGTTTATAAATGTACAGTATCTAGATGAGAGTCTAAATTCAAAGTCGCACGGCTCAAACTGAGAAACAGAAATACCTTGGGATTGAAAGTCACTCTTTGCCAGTAAAATACAATCGTAGCTTCATTTTCTGTATAATGCGAGTCAAAAACCGGCTCTAATTGAAACTGTATACATGTAACTAATGCATTAGTACCTTAAATCCTTTATTCACTATATGGGTTCTTTTCGGTAAGGTTTGTATAGGCCACAACCACTGGGCTCTCAAAGGCATCTACTGTCTTCAACGAAAGACGGTCAAAGGGAGGCAACTCGCGAATTATCTGAGTCTTGAACGCCTCTATGCAGTGACATGTACAAGTTCAGCTTGCCCTTCACCGTTTTGCCGTTACGACAATTAAAGAGTTAATGAAAACCGTACATGATACGAACTTTAATAACTGTTTACCAATGGTGCATTTGAAAATGATCAATTTTCCAATATACCACAAAAGCTACAAAACTATAACCAATTGATTGTTTCAACATGATGAAACAGATTTCAAGCTGAACATTAGGGTTAATAGAACTAGATCAATCTGGTGATTTATCATTGTGTATTGCGTAGGGACTATCTATTACAGGTAATTCAATTGAAAGAAATGAAAACAAATTATATCTAATTAAGGCTAATACATGTTAAAAAGATGCATTCCAAACCTTTTATTTACATTCTATTACATCCACTTTTATTATTTGAAATTAAGAAAAATAGTATATTTTCACGTAAAAAAACCGAAACACCGGCACGAAAACAACAATAACTGAACAGCCTTTTTCGCTGGAAAGATGATACGTTGTCAACGGTGACGAAATACACAGTTGAACAAATAGTTCCACTTTGCTTATTTTGAATCATTTATTTTTTATTACCAGCATGTTTTACAAGCATTGAATGTCTCATTGTCTTGTTCCCGTGTTATATTAATAGTAAAATCACATTTTTTTTTAAATTGCATTTAAAAGATTTGGAGAGGCTAAAAGCCTAATACGGTTTTCAATATTAAAAAAAATTGAAAGTAGATCTTGATTTGAAACATAAATACTCTGTAAAGTATTTTAGTTGCAAAAAGGCAGAAACGTATTCCGTGCTCGCGGAGATAGCGGACTGTTAAAAAACGGTTGTGCAGCGGCTACGCTCATCAGGCTACGAAGCGGTTAGACTTTTAACGAGATGATGGGTTAATGGTAATTGAAAGTGCATCCATAAAACGTGGAGTTTCGTAAGAAACCAGATGATGATTTGAAACATGCTGTTGGCTGAATTCTTATGTCGATCGACTGTGTCAACTGGAATAGCTCATCGTTCGAGCAGGCTGCATGTCTTACTGTTGCTGAGGAGACTGGCCGACGATCCAGGACGATTTGACCTGCTTCGCTACTTACAACTGACGCTAGTGTAGTTGACAGCGAAATATTCTCTTCTGTTGAAAAGAACCTGTGTTAAAGGATTTAATAGCAGACACGCTTCGATGGCCCGACATAAACATGATATGCACTAGGGACACGTCCATGACGTCGCTGTCAGACATATAAGCTGGAGCACAGGGGTTCGTTACAAATGTCTGTGGTTGGAGTTAGCACACGACGGATTTTAGACGCTGAATACGCGGACTTACATTTCTTTAAACAGGGTGATTTCTTGTTGATAGTTTAAAAAAAAGGATTAATAAAATATATTGATATGTTTTTTATCAGTTGATAAATAATTTCGTTTTTGTTTGTTTGTTGTGTGTTGGGGGGGGGGGGGGGGGGGGGGGGGTGTCAGAGGTCAGAGGTCATGTCACGGTACATGTAATACTGTTAATATTACTACACACTTGATTTTATTGAATCATAGTTGGTACTGTTATCTAGAGGCACTACAACACAAATGTACATATTTGATGAAACTTAGATAGGCAAGGTAAAGTTTGACTGTTATTCGTTATTTGTTATTCGGAATAACACTTAATTCTCTAACTACCGGGTGCGACAGTTAATTTATTCGTAATTCCGAATAGCGAATAGCGAATAACTGTCCAACTTTGCTTTGCTGCTTATTTAGTTTAGTATTAATTTCTATGTTGAGAAGAAAATTGAAATGCAGTATGTTTGTCTTGGTTACAAGCCGAAATAATATGATACGCTATACAGGTCAATAACCCCAACGGCATGTTGCGGTTTTTGACCTAGTACATGAAATAACTGAAGATGTCAGCACATCTATTGTGTTATATTTTCTGAAAAATCAAACATGCAAAGTTGACATTTAGCGTTTATAAACACGTCAATTTGACCTGCTGTATCTTTTATATACATTGTTTATCGAAATTACTTAAAGAGTATTCAATAATTAGTATGCCATGTGATAACAATTGAATCACGTCATATATCACAAGAAATAGTGTAAATTTCAGCATGGCTGTCACCATAGATATTGTTTAGTTTTACCAGCCTCTTTTATTCTCATTTCACTTTAAGAAAAAAAAATCGGGACTGATGTTTTAGTATCGTCAGTTATCTCTCGTTACCATTAACAACTTAAGTATGACGTCAGAAAAAAATGACCGCTGATTTCAATAAAATTTTATTTCTTCGACAGTAATATTAACAACAATTGATGTGTACATGTATATGAGTGTATGTAGATCCATGTGGTGTAATGTGAACGATTTCTGAGAAGCACGACACCTCAAGAGC